GGGCCACAGAGCTTCTCCTTGCTGTGAGGAGGAACCACCCCCGCTAGGATGCCTCTGTGAGCTTTCGGGAGTCCCCACTTTCCTGCCTCTTTCTTTCCATGTAGATCGAAGTGCTGATGCCTTGTACTGACCTAACAGCTGGATCGCCATTCCCAGCCAATGGAAGCTGCAGGAAGCAAAGTCCCCGTCTGTGACATTCCCCCCAGCTTCCATTAGGTTGGGAACGGTGATCGCTGGCCAACGGGCGCTGCCAGCGGCTGTACCGGCAGATACACAGGTGAGTAAAGTGCTGTCAGTCCACCGGGGCGATTCCTGAGGAACCGCCTCTGGCTTATTGCCTGCCCCTGCGCTAAGCCAGCTGGGGAGGCCAGAGGAAAATTTCAGCCCCGTACAAAGACTGTCCCTACTCCAGCCGCAAAACTAGCTCTTCAAAAGCAACTTCTCTGGAGCCGCTGCTCTGACTCGCAGAAAGGGACACGTGGGGCCCTGTGAGAGGGCAGCAGCAGCATGAGGATGAAGGCAGTGAGTCATCTTCATAGTTCCCCCCGGCCCCGGCCTGGGCACTCTCACAATTCACCCACTTACTGCAGGGGGTTAACGAGCTTTTTAGCTGAGCTGTGAAAATCCTGACTCCTGTCTGGAAGCTGATGGGAAGTGTCTCAATCGCCAAAGCAAAAGCAAGTGGAAAGGCTCCTTGGAATCAGCACTGTCAAAACACCAACATCCTATGAACCGAAAGTGGGCTGTTACTGCCTTCCCAAAGCAAGGCAGACTCACCGGGGACCTTTCCTTTTCACACTCAGCTCCTCCCCTCCACACTGGTCATGAGCTTCCCTCCTTAGCAGAGCCGTGACCAATAGCCCGTCGGCAGGAAATGAGTGAAAAGAATTACACCCTAGCGCAGCGGTTCTCAACCTATTTACCATCAGGCAGCTCTGTGTGTTCTGTGGGTCACATCCACACACTCTGTACGGTACCCCTACGCCCACGAGGCGGTCACGGGGCTGCAGCTGGGCGTGGACTGAGCTGCAAGAAGCTCATCAGCTGAGAACTACTGGCCTAGTGGTTAGAGCACTCACTTAGGATGGGGAAGCCCCTAATTCAAGTCCCTGTTCCGTTGAGTCTTTAGCCGTTTAAAGGCAGAAACACTTTCTTCACAGAAGACAGTAGGAGACCCACATCAGGCTCTCTCAAAAACACAAGTAGCCACAACTACTTAGCAAATCTGTATCAGACTCACAATTCACATCCTGGGCCAGCCACAACTACATTTTTCAGCAAACCAACTCTTCCTAGAAAACAATTCACCCCGCTCTAGTGATTAATAACACTTGCAAAGAGAAAACACTCGGCCTTTATGATTCTCCAACAAGTAGGCATTGGCCAACACTTTTCACTAGGAAGAACACAACTTGACACTGACTCACCAACAACCCCCCTTCCTCCAAGTCCCACATTCTTTGGAAATGACACTGACGCACACACAGCTGTATGAGCGCCTAACCCAGACAGTCCTAAGGTAGCAGGGAAAGTTCCGTCCATTTATACGCAAAGCCAAGGGCTGTACGCTGCATCAGAGGACTGAAACGCTACTCACCCAGATTGTACCATACATCCATTTCTCCACTCAGCGTGCGGACTTCAATGATGGTCTGCCCCAAGAAATCGTCCGACTCACGTTTCAGCCTCTGCTTGACACGAGACTTAATGTCGTCATCCTCATCCCAGACGCGCACTTTGATCCGATCCGAGGAGTTGTGGCACTCACTGCGAGGAAGACAAGAGGTAACAGGTGGGTGACCACCAGCCAGCCACAGAACCCAAGGGGCTTGGAGGTGCGGTTCTAGCGCGCGACGGCCCATTCTGTGCTATTTTGCTAGTGGTCTGCATGTGACAAGTTCATTCATGTTGGCAGCCCATGGGGAAGGATGGGAGCAGCTAGTAACACGCCAGTAGTCGATGGGAATTGTGCTACAGAGAGGTTTTGAGGGCCATGGAACTGAGGGCCCTGACCACTGGGGATACTGCATGCGGCTCAGTTATTTGATCGTAGTGCATCAGTCACAGGTTCAGATGCAGGCCAAGACAGACCCAAAGTGAGGCCATTAACTTAATTTTGTTTGAGACTTGATTAGTGTCACTAGCAAAGCAACAGCGTATTATGTCCAGAACCCAGCCAGCGTGGGGCTCGGATGCTGCCCGTGTGTGGGAGGCAGGGCTGGGACGCAGCAGCTGTAATGAAGTTGGTATTTAAGAGCGACAACATGCCCCAGGCAGCCAACTAAAGTCTCCTTCCGAAAGGCAGCTTGGTTCTCAGTCGAACTGCCACCTCTGCTCTGATGCTGAGCAAATAAAAAAGGGGGGTTCCAAAAAGCTAAGCAGGCCAATGACCTGTGCAGTGCGGGGGGGGGCGGGGGGGAAGAGAACGCAAAGGTTACAGGGACACGGTGAAGAGAGAGATCTTGTCACCACAGCTCTGCTCATTTATTGGCCCTGTGATACAATAAAGCAATCTGAATGCTCATATAACAGCATGGCAAGGCTGATTACTCATCGTGACCGCTTAAAAACGTCTGGCCACACCAGAAAACAAAAAGGTGCTGAAAATACGACAATTCCTATGGAAGGTCTGTGCTCTAGCCTTTTTAAACCGACTGCATCCGTTGCTAAGCAACAAGGAGCACGATCAAGGCGCAAGAAAGAAGAAATGGGTCAAAAGAGATTTGCTAAGCCAAGTCAGGGAGATGTGGGCGACCGTGGTGTTTCCATGTTACCTACCAAGAACCCATTCGGCCTCTCATGGCCACCTATTGTGCCTAACGCAGAAGAGCTCACTGCGAGTTACATGGAGAAAAGCAGAAGCAATTGTACCTTGTCCTGATTATTTGCTGTTGCTTGAAAACCAAGCCCTGCTCTGCATTCCTCAGGGGACTCAAAGTACCATTTACAATACAGAAACAGCTGCTCCAATCAATATTTCTCTGCTTTTAATTCTCTCTCTCCCATCTGTAAACATGTGCAACTGTTTAGGAGGATTTGCTGCATGAGGAGCTGAAGAGGAGATGCTAATTCTGGTTCTTCCTCTAGCTCTCAAACTTATTTGGGCATGCAAAGTAAGTGTCTGTCCACTACCAACTCTTAAATCATACAAGAAACTCTGGGATTTCTTCTGAGCAAGACCCGAGAAGTCGTTCTTCCACTCTGCTCTTCACTGACTGGGCCTCAGTTGGAGTATTGTGTCCAGTTCTGGGCCCCACATTTCAAGAAAGATGTGAAGAAATTGGAAGGGTCCAGAGAAGAACAACAGAAATGATTCAAGGTCTAGAGAACATGAGCTATGAGGGAAAGCCAAAAGAATTGGGCTTGTTTAGTTTAGAAAAGAGAAGACCGAGAGGAGACATGATAGCAGCTTTCAAGTACCTAAAAGGGTGTCACAAGGAGGAAGAAAAATTGTTCTCCTTGGCTTCTGAGAATAGGCCAAGAAGCAATGGGCTTAAAATCGCAGCAAGGGAGGTTTAGGTTGGACAGTAGGAAAAACTTCCTGCCTGTCAGGGCGGTGAAACACTGGAATAAATTGCCCAGGGAGGTTGTGCAATCTCCATCACTGGAGATATTGAAGAGCAGGTTGGACAGACACCTGTCAGGGATGATCTAGACGGTGCTTGGTCCTGCCATGAGGGCAAGGAACTGGACTCGATGGCCTATCGTGGTCTCTTCCAGTTCTATGATTCAGGTGCCCAAAGATGCAGAGTGATGTACAACAAATAGGACTTCCACAAGCTCTAAGCAAGTTAGGTCTCTAACTCCCATTGACCGCGTTTTTCAGTGCCTAAATATTTTTGTTAACCCGGCCCCAGATCTTGACCCTGTCCTATAGTCCATCCAAGGTACTGCTTCTTCAGGAATATATTGTTGGGGTGTGTAAAAATTAATAGGCTCTATTGAAATGGTTCTACATTCGTCGTTCAGGGGTCAGCCACAGCATTACCCTTAAATGTGCTTTTTCCTTTTGTTTTTGAAGTTTGGGAAGATAGGGTCTGGTCGAGACCAGTATTATCTTTTGATATACATAAACTTGCTCTCTCTGTGTTCCATAGCCTAGGAAATCAAAGAAGTATGGAGTTGCTATATTGTTATGTCTCTTGCTTCATAGAATCATAGAACTGGAAGAGACCTCAGAAGGTCATCAAGTCCAGCCCCCTAATCTAGGCAGGACCAATTCCAACTAAATCAACCTGGCCAGGGCTTTGTCAAGCCGAGATTTAAACACCTCTAGGGATGGAGACTCCACTACTTCCCTAGGGAACCCATTCCAGTGCTTCACCACCCTCCTAATGAAATAGTTTTTCCTAATATTCAACCTGGACCTCTCCCACCACAACTTGAGACCATTCCTCCTTGTTCTGCCATCTGTCACTACTGAGAACAGTCTCTCTCCATCCTCTTTGGAACCTCCCTTCAGGAAGTTGAAGGCTGCTATCAAATCCCCCCTCACTCTTCGCTTCTGCAGACTAAACAGACCCAAGTCCCTCAGCCTCTCCTCATATGCTCCAGCCCCCTAATCATTTTGGTTGCCCTCCGCTGGACCCTCTCCAATGCGTCCACATCCTTTTTGTAGTGGGGGGCCCAGAACTGGACACACTACTCCAGATGAGGCCTCACCAAAGCCAAATAAAGGGGAATTATCCTCATTGGCTGTATAAAATATCTTTAAGGTTAAGTTTCTTGTAATCTCTGTAGCCTGCTGATTTAGGAAGTGTTAATTCAATCAAATTCTGTAAATAGTAATTAGGGGTGGGTATAATGGCATTTATTATTTGCTTATTCATGTTCATTTTATGGGAGATAACATTACTAAATAAAGTTTTAGGAAAAGTAGTGATGGACATGTAAATTAAAATACTAAAAGAGATAAAAGGGTGCAAGTGGCACCAGGTTGTTGCCACTCCGACATTGTGTTGAATGTCCGAGGTAAATGCGCGTAAGCAATAAAGCAGTTCTGTTTACTCCATCCGCTCCTGGATCGTCTGTTTCTTCTCTAACAACATTCAAGGTGATTTCACCTAGCTCGATCTGCACTGTGTGCACATAAGAATAGCTACACAGGCTCAGACCACACGTCCACCTAGCTATGGGAAGGCGTAAATAACTCTTCTTTTTGAACTTCAACATGCACCACAGCAGATATCTGGAGCAAGTGAGATCTTTCTTGAGCTACAGTAGGGGGCTTCATGGCACCACAATCACTGCAGAATGTTACATGGTGAATTTTCAGTGGTACCAACTGGACCTGTAAACCTCAAGACAGTGACTGTCTCTGCCATACTCCCTTTCCCCAGTTCTGTGGGTTTCTTACACTTTGTACGCCCTCTCCTGGTTCTCTACCAGAGCTATTCATGCTGCTCAACACCTGAACCTGGGGCAAAGGCTGGGTAAACCTACAGGATCTACAGTCATCGTTACTGTTGAACCAAGACAGCCAGGTTGAGGTCAGTGCCGCTTCTACAGGAACAGCAGCTCTGAGATTCAACTCAAACACCTTCATTTCTGGGAGACAAAGGACAATGCTCCCCGGTCAATTGAAACTGCATAAACCCCACCTCGTGGAGCCCAGATATGTGCTTGAGTGATCTACAGCATCCCCACGAGGCAGGAAGCAGCATGTCTCACACTCCCCAGCTCTCACTGCACTTCCTGCTCCCGTTTCCTCTTTTAAAATCTATTTTATATTCACTGGCGTTTGTGATGCCGAGTTGTACAGAATTATTTACAATGAGTTTTACATTGTTTTGTTCTGAGTGCTGTCATATAACCAATTATCTACATTTGCACCTGCACAATGGAGAGACTGCACTAATCACTTGTTGAGATGTACTGAAAAGTACTATTTCTTTTGGTTTTTACAATGGAAATATTTGCAATAAAATAATATCAAGTGAGCACTGTACACTTTGCATTGAGGTATAAGTGAAATCAGTATATCTGACAACGTAGAAAAATATCCAAACATTTATTAAATGTTAATTGAGAGTCTATTTTTAAACATCAGAGGGGTAGCCGTGTTAGCCTGAATCTGCAAAAGCGGCGAGGAGTCCTGTGGCACCTTAGAGACAAACTGAAGTGTTGGAGCATAAGCTTTCGTGGGCAAAGACGAAATACATGCATGTGACGAAGTGGGTCTTTGCCCACGAAAGCTTATGCTCCAACACTTCAGTTTGTCTCTAAGGTGCCACAGGACTCCTCGCCGCTATTTTTAAACAATGCCACTAAAAGTGCCATTAATCACGGTTAATTTTTTAATTGTGATTGCGTTAACTGCATGAGTTAACTATGGTTAATTGACAGTCCAAGCGAGGGATGTAAAATCTCCGTTAATTCGTTAACTAATTAAACATTAAGTTTAACAAGTCAACTGATAAAACTGGGGGCCCAGTGGGGCAGGAGTAGGCTCCATCTGCAGCGGGCCGGGACTGGATAACAGGTTACCAATTAACATCCCTAGTCTAAGCCATTATCATTTATTTCCTATTTTAATTCCTGTAGCACGCTGAGGGCCCAGAGCCGCCGCACTCCATTCCCCTGGTGACCCAGGTACTAGCAGGGCGCTCTCTCGAAGAGTCCCGGGGGCGGGGGAGGGAGCAGTAAGAGCGAGTTGTGTCTGCGTCATTGTTACTAGGCTCATTTAGCCCCCCACACCCAGCAGCGTCTGTAGTATGGGGGGGGGGATAGTTTGGGGGCTCCTCCAGCAGGGTTTGTCTGTGGCTGGG